ACAACCCAAGGGTCTGGCCCCAAGGGCAAGGAGCCACTGATCCTGACTTCAAACAGTGTCCTCTGCAGCAACCCTGATGCTGAGAAGTGATTAAGGGTGGGAAGAGAACCAAAAGGCTCCAGCTCTCTCTCCCACGCTTGAAAGCAATGCCACGATGGGTGCAAGGTGTGGATTAGGGAAACCAGCATCCGGGTGGAAATGGCAGCAGTTGCCTTTTCCGGCCTCTCCCCAAAGGAAAGGGGAGCATTTTCCAGGTGTTAATTTAATGTACTGCAGGGTTCAGAGGGAAGGGAGGCTGTTAGCACTTTGTAGATGTGGAAAGTAAGACGTGTCTTTCCATCCCCTCAACCCTGCCCGAGATGTCTTGCGTCATTTGACAGCACAGAGTGAGTTTCTTGTGCTGCTGAATTTTGGTATAAAGGCAAAGTAGTGATTGTCCCCAGTGCCATGTAGGTCCCACAACGAAGGGCAAAGGGGAGCTCCAACTCCCAGCCCACTGCTATGGCTGAGGATGGGTTTGCAACCAGTAGTGGGTAGTGCTGATTTATTCAAGGAGGAGGCAGAACATCCGCTTTTCCTGGAAAGGATTTTCCATTTGACTTGTATACAGGCTCTGCTTAGCCCAAAGGATGTCCTTGAACCCTGGGACAGTCAAAAGGCTGAGGATACCTCGTGCTTTGCCCCCTGGTTCAGTCTGAAACAAGGGGCAGGGGCAGCACAGGCATCTCCAGTGGGCTGGGGAAGGGCTGTGGGTCTCTGCTCAGGGCACCAGAAGGTCCAAAGAATCCATTCTTTGATCACTAGATCATGCTGCATCTTGAAAAATGCTTCTGGAAGAGCACTTCTGAAGCAACTCCTTTTTCCTTCTTACTTTAAAAACTTTGGCTTTACTTTTAACCATCCCCAAACCCGCAATCCTTTTTCTGCACCTAAACAGGTGTATGAAGGTATGGTTGGATAGAGTTGTATGAGATGGGCTAAGAATGTAGGGAAAAGGATTTCTGTGCCCAAAGATTTGTCTGCTTTTTCCAATTTTAGCACCCAGTCTAGTAAGAGAAATAGTTCTTTAGTACAAGCCTTATAACCACATGTCATTCAGAAAAGTTTAGCTAAGAATTAAACTAAACATCCAATTTGGCTGCATGTGTAATGAATAAATAAAGCCTTTTCCTTTCATGTACCCGTGCCAAAGTCAACAAGCTCTATTAGCTGATGAAACAATGCTGACGCCAAATAAAAATACCCCTGACCCATCAATATGGGCTAAGAGCTCGGCCCTGTATCAAAGAGGTTTGTCAGAACAAGAAATACTGTCTCGACACCTCTGGGGGGAAAACAAAGGCCCCCATTCCTGCAGCAAGCTGGGCTCCCTGTGCTGCCGGTGCAGGGAGCTCTCACTGGGATGTCAAGGAGCAGCAAAACCATTCCATGGGGACCGTCTGCTATGGACACCTCTCCCATCTTTTGCTAGAATGATTTGGAAACCTTCTGAACTGCAAACTTATTTGGAGTGAGATTAGGGCTTTGGTGTTTGCTTGCTCCCCACTGCACACCCCGTGTGTGAACTCCCCACAAAACCAGAGGATTTTTATCCTGTGTGCAAAACGCTGACGCTTCAAAGTGAAATCCTCCAAGGTCCCTGCTCGGCAGCAAAGAGGAGCTTCAGCATCTCAGAGTATCAACACCTGGGAGCACCCTGCCAGCTGGGCCATCCTCCCTCTCCTCCCCAGGAGAGTGGGAAGGTGAAGGAACACTCCATCTCCCCTCTGCCCCGTGCAGACTGTGCAGCTTTGCCATTCCCCAGCCGTGCTTACCCTGCAAACCCCTCTCCTTTGAAATCCACATTCAGCTGCTCCGTGCCATGCCCTGCATGTGATCTTTGAAGTCTCACCCCTCCCTCGACATCCTTGGCTAAAAGATCTGTTCCCTATTAGTCTTCAGTCACGCTTTTAGATTCATTCAGGCTCTTATTTACTTATCCATCTGTCTTCCTGCTCCCACCACTCCCCCTGCCCTGCCAGGAGGGAAAGTACAATTCATTTTTCAGGTGACCCTGCCAGGAAGGCATTGACATGAATAGGAGCAGGTTCAGAAACTGGGGAAAAAGCAAAACCCTTGACTTTAAGAAGCAGCAAAACACTTCCCAATCAGAAGAAAGCAGCCAGATGTGCCTAGAATTGCTATAAAACAGAAAAGACTGTCCTCCAAATAATTCCTGCCATCCCCTGATGCCTCCTCGTGCAGAACTCTCTGTGAGCACTGCTCAGAGTTGTTGCAGGGCAGTGTGTGATCCTGTAGGCTGTGTGATGCCTCCTGGTGCTGGTACAGCCTCGCAGGACACACTCACTGTCTGACAGGGTCCTGACTGTCACCAGGACTCTGCTCCTCTGCCTGCCCACAGCAGTGCCCTGCACAGGGACACGGTCCAGCTCCCTCCTGTCTGGCTGCTTTGAGCATGGAGGGGTGTTTGTGTGTCTTTAGTTTTGATTTCAGCTGTCTGAGCAGTGCAGGTGTCCTGCTGGGCTGCGCTTAATTCTGAGTAACGCGAGTTTAACTGCACGGACAGTCCCCTGCTGCTTTGAAAGACACCTAAGAAAGCAATATAGTCACCGTAAGAACTTCTCTGCTGGAAAGCCAGGCTCCTATGAGAACCCACCTGTTACAAAGAAATAATTAAAACCTGAAAAGGAAGGATAACAGGACACTGAAAGGCACCTGAGCGGGCTGGCAGCGAGGAGCTGCTCAGGGCGTGTGTGTGAGCTGCTCACCCTCCCCTCTCAGCCAGGGCCGGGGCTCGGAGGTTGTAACGATCGGTGGGCAGCGACATCGATTTTTGTCCGGCACTTCCTTAGTGCAGGGGGAGCGAAACTCGGCTCACATCCTCTGCGGGCTCCGCTCGCCTCCCCCTGCCTGTCAATAGGTGTCAAGTCACCACCCAGGACCGGCGGTGGAAGGGCCATTTCTTGCTGATTCCACTTTCTGCTGACCATAAGGGGATGCTCAGCAGTAAGTGGCCACATGTCATTCCCTGTGAAAATTTACCTTGATGGCCTCCCAGCCCACACCACTCCAGTGCTAAGGCTGGATCTCTCCTGCAGCCACCTCCTGCTCTGTGCACTAAGTGTTGGGTGGGCTCTTTGCTCACCTCAGCAGGGCTGCTCTTCCTCTGCTTCATTTTTATAACTGTTTAGTCCTCTAGAGAGGACAGCACTGGTGTCGGGGGGGGGGAAGGGCCATGTATACAGTGGAATTTCATAAACCTATCCCAAAAATCTGAAAAATTATATTGCAACATATAATTCCTGTTCTTAGCTTGATTCTTCATCAGGGAATTGCTCGGGGACGTTGCTGTGAGTGCTTGTTTCTGTTTTGGAAAACAAAAGCTGGGCCAAGCTGGGGTGAGGCAGGGACAGGAAGGCAAATCCATGTTTTGCATTTGTGTAGCTCTCATTCACGGCTGTACACGGTGTTTGCAAGTGTTACAGCACATGGCAGGCGTACGCTACACGGAAACGCTGCCGGTGCCCAGAATAGAAAGATTTTAGTTCAGTATTGACTGAATCAAGAGATGTGGAGGGCTGATTGCAGTTTGTGTCTTTTGCTTCCTTGGAGGTCAGTGGAGCTGAAGTCTGGAGCATCCTTAACCAGAAAGGGTTTGCAAAGAGCTGCAGTGAGTGTAGTGCAAAGCACTTTGGTGTTCTCCTTTTAATTCTTCTGTTGCCAGTCAGATAAATGGAAATACAGACCCACCCATCAATAGTTAACGGTTTTATTTGCAACCTTGGGCTTAATCTTTCTTTTCAAACGATCTTTTAAAAGGTAAAGCTGCTACTTATCTGGAATTAGTGGAAATGTCTTCCCTGGTACTAATGAGACCCCTTAGGCTGGAGGGAACTGGGTAACTACTGGCAGCATGTCCTGATGGTCATAAATGTTTGGCGTCCCTTGGTATCAAAGCAGCATTTTTCTCTTGGATTTTCAAGAGGTGCCCTGAGCTGGTTGGGCCCAGGGTATCTCCTAGGTGGCAAACTGAGGCACGGGGTACACAAGCCTGGATAGCATTGGCAATAGAAAGTGGGACTCTGTACTGATTTAGAGGGAGAACTCCCCTTCTCATTATGGGTAATGAAAGAATAACATACTCTTTTAAAATACCTCCTTGTCCAGTGCTCACCACAATGGAAACCCTGTCAGCATGGGCTGGCTTGGTCCCTGTCCCTTAATTGTGTGCTTGGACCACTCCTGGGGGACATTTGAGAGGGGGCATTACTGTTTTGCTCTTTGCTTTGACCCCTGAATTCTTTAACAATGTAAGGCCTTGTGAATTATAAATCAAATGCTCCTGCTGAGCTTTGTGGTGCACGGAATGAAATGTGATGATTAATATTTAAGAGAAAATAAGTTAAAGATTTTAACTACAAGGGCAAATGTCTGTCCACAGAGTCTTTTCATGGGGAGGTTAGAGGAGAGGGAGAACCACATTTTCAGATATTTCAGTGAAATTTATGGCTGTCAGGCCAACTGCCAGAGCTGTCAGTGTGCAGGGGCCACGCTGGCCCTCACTGACCTGCCCTTCACTCAGAGATAATGTACCCAGCTCTCCAGTGCTGGAGCAGCCCTTTGGGATGGGACTGGTGAGCACACCCCACACACTTTAGCAAACAGAGGGACGTGCTTGGAGCAGCTGGGGTTGAGTGCCCACTGGGGGCAGAGCTTTTCCAAAACCCAGATCCTACCCAGGACTTGCTCAGCCCTCCCCAGCTCCTCCTTTCCCTCCCCTCCACCATCCCTGCTGTAGGACTGACTTCTCCTTGGCACAGCACTGGGATGGGCAGGATGCCTTCCCCCACTTAGCAGACCAGGAGATTGAGAGCTCCAGGCAGCAACCACTGTGGCCACCCTGAACCAAAATGTCCTTTCAATGGCACATTGGCAGGACGCTGCCTCTGGCCACCAGCAGAGCCTGTCATAACCCATCAGATAAGGAGGGAAACACTTACATGGGTGCAGAACCTCTCGGGCGGGTCCCCACAAGTGATTCCTGCCGGATCCACCCGGACCGTCACATAATCCTTCATCCGCATGGCCTTGGGCTGGCAAGCATAAAACTCCCATGAGGGGCCATCGTCCGTGGTCACCCAGGACTTGCAAATGTCATACTGTCCCATGGCCAAGGGGACACAGTGCAAGAGGAGAGCAACCAGGTGGAGCATGGCAGCTGCGGCCAAGCGCGGGGTCCCTGGGCGAGGGCAGTGCCGAGAGTCCCGAGGAAGGCAGCGACTGGGCTAGGGGTTGCTCTCGGGATCAGCATGGAAACTCCTCATCTAAAAATGATCCAGTCGAAGGAGACCCAGACGGTAACAGGGATGATCCCACTCTGCCCGCTGTGTCTGGATGTGGAAAGTTCCTCTCGGCACAGAAGCCAACTTTGCAATTCACTTGATTGGGAAAGTTTTGGCCAGAGTTGCTGATCAGTGGTCAAAAGTCTTCCTTAACCTCATTTTTCCCCCCTTTTATTGTACGAAAGGTCTTCCAAATCAGCATGAAAATATCTAGAGGTGACTCCAGTCAATCAATAGAAAGATCAAGTTCTGAGTCGCTGATGAAATTTGATAGGAGCAAATTGGAGAGGCCGTGAGATGGTGCTGGATCAGGTTTTCCTCAACCTTCTTGTCTGCTGCAAATGCGTCGCTGGGGAAGTGCCTTAAACTGTGTCTGCCTTAATTACTAGGGAGTTTGAACATTAACATATAAAATGAATAGAGCATCTGGTCATCAGTACAGCTCTGACAAGAGAGACCCTTTGGAGCTAAAATTCCCTTTTCCCAAAGGATGGTTGCGTCAACATGAACAGGTCAGGTGTCAAGATCCGTGGTGGTCCCAGCAGGATGCTGGGTGGTCACTGGGTTGACAGGAGCAGTGCTGGTCTCTGCTGCTCCTGCCGTGTCCTGTGGTGGTGGTGAGGCACTCGCAGGCGAGGATTTGTCCAACTCTGCCTTTTGGCAACCGAGCACCAAGTTCCCAAAGCCTTCAGCTGCAATCCATGTGGCTACCTGAGGTCTCCTCTCCCTTTCATGGTCAGGGCAAAGGAACAGCTCATCAGCAGGTGGCACCTGCAAGAAATCGAAAGACAAATTGGGTGGGAGCAAGGGGGGACAGTCAGAGCAACAAGACTTGTAAGAACAGGGGTCCCCAAGGAGGCACAATCCTCAGCTGGGCTTCCCAAGCCACCAGACAGATTTTTGTACCAGGGAGATATACAACTTTAATAAAAACCAATCCATAGTAAGATGCTTATGGCTTTTCTGCTGTCTGGGAGAAGGGAAGGAGAGCTGCCCCATTTAAGGTATCTGCTTTGTAACAGCAGCTGGTCACCAGGAGCTCTAATGGGTCTTCAAATAATATCAAGAAGGAGCTATAGGTCATTAGAAGATGGAGAATATGCAGACACAGAGCAGGGATAGACAGACAAATTGATAGTCTTGAAAAAGCTAAGCAAATAAATAAGACAGCTGGGGAGACAGATACATTGTCCAGCATCCCCACATATGATTTATCTGAACAATAACATTTAATAAAAAACAATTTAAAGTCCTAATAACATTTAGGTTCACCTAATACAAAGAGCAATGACCTTCCCAGTATTCATTTCAGGTTAGAACAACATTTCTGCAATTTTGTTGTCTTTCCAGTAGAGCTATAAAAACTGTAAGTAATTACAAAACAAAATGACAAAGACCTGAAGGAGAAAAAAAACATCAAACCCTCTCTCAGCATTAGATTCAGGAGGAAGATCTCATCTGAGAAGGCGGGAGGCACCTATCCAGAACAGAAATCTAGCTTGGGATAATTCCCTTTCTACTTGTTTCCCCAACTTTTCTTCCACAATTTAGGAATGTCTACTTCAACAGCATGTTTAGCATCTGCTTTCTCATAAAGCTCAGCTGCTAAAAGCTCAGAAACTCCAGGTTAACAGATGCATTGATCCATGTTCGGGGGCTTCACACCGCCGTGCTACCATCTCCCTTTCTCCCCTTTTTGGTCGAAGGATTACTGATTGAGATGAATGAGTTCAGAAAAGAGAAGCTGTCTCTCACGCTTCATTGCCAGCTCTCAACGAACAGCCTATTATAGCTGCGTTGGACCTGAATAAACTCCCAGAAAAAGAATAGACTGGCTGCTATTTTTACATTATGAGTAAATGTAGTAAAAATAATAAGCCGGTGTGACACAGTGTTTATAAGTCCTACTTACATCAGAGCTGTCTTTTCAGTTATAACAAGTCAGTTCCTAATTATTACATCAAACTGGTCACTGCCAAGTGCCTGATAACAGCGGAAAGTGTGAGACTGGTGTAGAAAACAAGCAGGGTAGTTTTAATGAGGACTCCAGTGCCGTTAAGTTTATGGATCTATTTTCATAGCCTCGACAATTATATTTTGCACTTGAATGGCTGTCAGGGAAAAACCCGGGTAGAAAGGATCTATAATATCTATTAGTGTCTTGTTATGCTGGCTAAATGTCATAGATTCCCAGGGAAATAAAAACTTGCTGGGAAAAAATGTATTTACTCTCAGTCCACCAGCCAGGGGAGCGGATTTGGGGAGAAGTCTGAGGTGCAACACTTTGCCAGTCCAGTCCCTCTGCAGAAATAGTTGGAGTGTTGCTCTGAAATGAGCCAACATACTGCAAACGGGGCAGAGAGGCTCCCTGAATGAAAGGTTTCACCCTGCTTGATTTGGTTTGATTCTTAGAAAATAAATCTTCACCTGATATTATTAAGAAACTGCAGTTCATGGGAACAAATAGAATCAATGCTCTTTGTTCTCTTTGAAGAGTACTCAGCACTCGCTGGGGACTGATAGCCGGAGTATTAAAAACACAAAATTAGATTGTGTCTTGACTTAGCTGGCTCCGGTTTTTTTCTTATTATTGGATTAACACCCTATTGAAATAAAGGGACAACGCTGAGCAACAACTGAGCTGCTCTGGAATTAAGAGCAGAAAGTAAACTCAATGAAGGAGTTTTTAATTTTCTCTCAGAAGTGTTGCTTTCCCCACGCACCCTCCGCTCTCCCCCCGCGCTCACGGAGCGGGAGTTCTTCTCCTCTTTCCCACGCTGATCATCCCTTCCCCGCGCCCTTAACAGCGAAGCTGGGGAGCCCCCGCGGGGTGCCGGGACCCTGAACCCCGCGATAACGCTGCGCGGCTCGAAGCTCCCAGCAGAAAAAACCTGTAAATCCCACTCGCATCCCGCCGCTCTCCCTGATGGATTCGCGGTTCCCGGCAAAACCCGATGCCGCTCCCCGCCTCCCGCCCCATCCTCCCCGGTTTCTTTTACACCAAAGGACTTTGGGGGGGGGGGGGTTGCAAGGGCTGGAGTGGGAATCGGCGGGGCGAGGGGAGCGCCCCGGGCTTCCCAAACTCCGAAGCGAGAAAATAAACCCCATCCCGCGGCGGGGAGATGGGGATGTTCCGGGGAGGGCGATACAGAGCGGGACACCCCAGGAAAGCCTGGGAACAACTTGGGAGGTGCGGGGGACACGCGGGGTTTGGGGATGGGGCAGATGCCGGCGCTGCCCGCCCCCCCCCTCCGCCTCCCTTTCTCCCCCTTTTCCCCCCATCCCCGGTGCTCGGCGCTGCGGGTCCTTACCGGGAGGGAGCTCTGCGGTGCGGGGCTCCCGGCGGAGCAACTTCGGGGCCGGGGGGAACCCCAAACACACCCCCCCAGCCCAGCCCAGCTAAGCCCAGCCCAGCGCGGCGGGCAGGCGCTGCGCCGCCGGCCCCCAAGGGCAGATGGCCGGGGGAGCTTTGTGCAATCCCGGCTCCCCTCGCAAGTTAATGCCGAGGCTGAAATCCCTTTTGCTCTCACTTTCAATCACAATCGGAGCTTTTATCTCCGTGCCTGATCCCGGCTGCGTAACTTCCTCTGTGCAGCTTTAGCACACACCATCCCACCGGCGGCAATGGGCTTCTTAAAGGTGCAGGAGGAAATGCAGGGCGGGGGGGAGGAGGAGGAGGGAGGGAAAACCACCCGAGGAAGAGGAGGATGCGAGCGGGAGCCTTCGGCTCCGGCGGCCCCGCGGCTCCCGGTGCAGCATCCGCGCCGTCCCGCTGCCCCCGGTTGGATAACGGCAGCCGGGAATGCCGCTCCTCGGGGCTCCTCTGTTATTTTTTTCCTTTAAGAGCTTTAAAAAAAAATAAAAAAAAAATAAAAATCATGAGATCATGTTTCCTCGAGGGGGAAAAAAAAAAATCTCCAGTCACGAGGGTTTCCCCACACGTGTAAGTCCTCGCATGGTGTGCCCTGAATATTTTGGGGAGGCTTCTGCTGGCGAAGATGCCGTAAATGAGGCTGCGTGCGTGTGTGTTGGGGGAAGAGGGGGTGGTTGGAATTAATAGGATAAACAAAGCAGGAACTCGGAGATGGGGAAATCAGATGGCTGGGAAATGCTTGATAATGGTGGGAATGTGCTTTGGGATTTAACCAAACCGGGTTTTTCTTTAGTAAGGTTGGGGAATTAACATGCAGGGCTGCAAAGTGTGACAGCACCTTCCAGCATGGGGCTGGAGAAGCAGCAGGGGTTGCTTAGGTCAACTCTGTTGAGTCCATGCTGAGGGGCAGAGGAGGCTCCAGCTCTGGACAAGGCAGATAAAGCTGTGGCAGGTGAAGGTCCAAGTTTTCCCTGCACAGGGCAGCGGCTGGAGGCAGGATTCCAAAGCAACAACAGGTTTTTGTCTGCCACAGGCAGGAGGGAATGGGGAAGAGTTGCAGCAAATGTTTAATTTTAGACCATTTGCATTCTTTTATCCTGATGCATTTTGCAAATAATTAATGCTGTGTGTAGTGTTGTTCTGGATGAAATGGATAAATGTCAGTTCATTTATGGGGAGGAAAACCAAAGAATCCCCACTGCCTCCTATGTACATGACCACCAAAAAAAATAACTGCTCCCTCCTAACCAAGAATTCAATAATTCCTAAGCCAGAAAATGCATTGTCCAGCTTGTATGTGGTTTGAACCTCATTGACTCAGTATTTTGTTACATGATTTCCTTTGGCCCATTGCTCTGAGGTCTCTGTGTGGCTTCTCCCATCTAAGAGTCCCTGGAAAACGCACCATCCATCCTTTGACAAGACAGAGGTGATTTAGAGCTCTTCTGGGAAACGTTTCCCATATTCTGGAGCATAAGTGAGATTTATGAAATGCTGGCATTGTGTCTTGACTGTGGCCCAGCCTAAATGTGATGCTGATGCACAGGGTGGTCTTTGCAAGGATGTCTTTGATTCTGGCTCAATTTTCCACTCCTCTGGTGAGGACACAGTCTGATACTTTCCACATACTAACAACTTCTGTAAACACTCACTTTACAGCAGCAGTATAACTTAAGTGAGAAGCACTGGCTGGGAATCCAGGGCTGGCTAATATTCCTGGATTTTACTTTGTGCCTTTAGGTCTGCTCGGTAGTAATGACTCCCCTGGAAATTCCCCACGTCTCACTTATTACTTCTTTATTAGTTATTATGGTACCGTAACAGGATAAAAAGGAGTTGGTATTTCATTTTCATTCCCTCTAATAGCCCCGGCAAAGACCAAGTGGTGTGCTGATTATTGACATCAGAGTTAAGTGATATGCACGCATCATTAGGTTTCAATTGGAAAGAATAACAGCACAGTGTGAGTCGTCACACTTCTAAACTCCATGGCATTTAAGGAAAAACCAAAGTCGTTTTTCTCAGCCCTGCGAGCTCAAAAGATCAGAAGCTGGCAATAATACTTGTATAGACACAGGTAAAAGGCGCTAGCTCCAGGCAAAGCACCAGAATTAACTAATGAGCGTAACACCCTGGGGAGGCTGGCGGCAGCTGTGGGGCTTGTCCAAGGTTACACAGCGATTCAGGAGATCCAGGAGCGGGCTTGGAGGATGGGAAATCACCCAGCTCCTGGCTTAAACAGACAGGTCTGGCTCCGAGGGTCCTGATGGTGGGAAGGAAAGAGATGGTCCGTGGCACGCACAGGCACGGGAGCCCAAAGCGAGCAGCTGCCGGCGGTGCTGCTGCCACAGGCAGGAGGGAAAGAGGAAGAGTTGCAGCAAATGTTCAATTTTAGACCATTTGCATTCTTTTACCCTGGCGCATTTTGCAAATACTTAATGCTGGGGGTAGTTTTCTTCTGGATGAAATTTCTGCGAGGAGCAGAACGGGTGTGATTTTCCTTGAGGGGACAGCTCTGCCCCCTCCCTCTCGCCGAGCGCTCCCTCCTCGCACGGGGAGAGCGCGCGGTTGGAAATCAATGGGTCTGCACCGAGATTTAATTACTCCAGCGTAGGCAGGGGTGGAGAATAAGGCCCTTAATATTTAATACAGCCTCTGCTCCCAAAGGCATCCCCAGGGCTCAAGGGCCAAATGTAAAGCCATTATAAGCAGGTGTAATTCTATTGACATATGTGGGCTCGCACCTGTTTATACCGGGGCTATATTTGGCTCCCTAAATCTAAATGGCAAATGGTGCTTTTGACATGCGCGGAAGAAAGAGGGAAGTGTTTTCCTGGCTTGGGATGATAGAGAATATACTGAGACAACAGAAGGAAAACGTGGCACCTCGCAGTCCCTGTTCACAGTGATGATACGCTTGCTAACACTTGAGCTGAGTTGAGCCCGTGGAGAGTGATCTGACATTACTGCCAGAATAATAACCAGGCTTATAAAGGATCTTTCATTTGGGGATACATATTGCTGTATCACCTCTAATAGCAATACATTCTTTTTATGGTCCTTATCTAGCAATGTGCGGCCAAGGATGTCAAAGTGCCTCCTGCAAGTGAGTAAGCATTTTATTAGGTGGAAACACACGGCCTGGAATTGTGCTCTGAGCCCAGGAGCAGGAGAGAGACCCCTTTGTGAGGGAGGGTCTCGGGTGATATTTGACAAGCACGGCTCAGTCCAACCCCTTGTTCCAGCAGTGACTCTCTCCAGCCCGCCAGGACCTCCAGGGAGAAGGGAGGAAATTCCTTGTAGGTGGTTTTGTTTGGGATGTTACGGATGGCAGAGGTGAAGGCTGCTTGAACCCTGAGCTTATCAGGGGGGATTTGTCTCATCTCACCACCCTTGTACTGCCCTTTTGTTCTTAGCAAGTTGAACATTAAAAAAGCTCCCAGCTTGACCAGGACAGGAAGGTTTGTGCTTCCCGGTTCCTTGTGCTTGGTGCAAAGACAGAATCACGGACTTTTGAAAAGGCAGACAGGCAAAATATTTTGTAGTTAGGAGAAATGCTGGAAAACCCACACAAAGCCTTGAGAAACTGAGCCACAGCCAGCTCTGGCTCACACAGGCCAGGAGTGTGGGTGGGGGACATTTATTTTCTTGCCCTCCCTTCACACTCTGCTCTGGCCTCGGGGCCAGACTCTCAGGTGCTGCCCGTGCCCTGCGCACACAGACCTGGTGAGCAGGAGAGGGAAGAGCCGAATGCTTCAGTCCCTGGAGTACTCCACATTTTTCTTCCTTTGTGAAAGCTACTGGGGAAATGGCAGAGAGCATCTGCTCTGGGAGGGGAGGCTTCCCCAGCTCCCTCCTCCTGCACAAGACCTCGGATGCATTTTGTGCAGCTCAGCCGGTTTCGCAGGGCCCCGAGTGAATGTTGCCCTCCCTGATTAGATAACCAAAGGAGCAGTGACTGTACTCTCCAGAGAGAAGATGCTGTCTCTTCCCTGCCAGAAGGACAGCTGGAGGGAGGGTGGGATTTTCAGCATGCAAGCACTTAGCCAGATCAAGGAAATGGGATGCAAAGCATTTTAGGCTAAGAAAGGTTGTTGTGCAGGGAAACATGAGGCTGCTGTTCTGTTCGGGAGATAACGCCTCTCAAAACGCTCCTGCGTGCCAAACTGCAAGCCTTGACTACAGCAGGTCATTGCCTCTTTAAGGAAAACAAGCATGACAAGTCAGAAAAAAACCCCATCACTGTCTCTGCTGAAAAACTTTGATCATTTAAATATTATTGATGCACATTAACCCCAGCAGAGATGGGCTGGGTGATGGGAAGTGCTTCACCTTGACACTGCAAAAATATGTTGCTTTCTGTTGCCTTGTCTTTTGTTTCATATATCAAATCAGAGCTTAGCCAAGTGAATCAGCTCAAGGAAGCATTTAGGATGTATTTGATTTTTTGGGAAGGTAGAGCTTTCCTCATCTTTACCAGCCGTGGGGGTGTAAGCATGGATAAAAACAGGAGGGATCTATAATTAACAACCCCTCAGAAGGGGAACTTTCCTTTTAACTTACTATTAAAATGGAAGTGTTTGGAGAATATACAGTTTTGGCTCTGGGGATCTCCCCTGTATATTTGACAGAGCCCTGTGAATTCCTCTAATCCCTGCCTTGGAGTGTGTCTGTGCTTTAAAATCAACTCCTGTCGCCCCACAGAGGGCTCATCTCAATGCCTGGATGGATTCCCATGGGAAGCCCCAGCGTTGCCCCCCCAGCCCTGATCAGGGAGGGCATGGATGGGAGAGGACCTCCCTTCCCAGAGCAGGGCTGTGTCTCCCCAGGGCAGGGCTGTGTCTCCCCAGCCCTGTGCTGGGAGGAGACGCCTTCCACAGACGCTTTTTAACCTGAGGAAGGAATGTGTCACTTCCAATGGAGCTGACAGCAGCAGGGAGGGTTTTTGGGGTAGTGGTTGAAGAACACACTTGTAATGAGTGAAGTAATTGAATAAATGCTGACAATTTGATGTGGAAAATGCATAATCAGCTCGCTGTGGAAGGTTGACTTGTTCTTTTTTCTCTCTTCCCTTAGCACTGGGATAAACACTTATCCTCTTCCAAGCAGGTGATGTGTTCAGCAGCACAGAACCAAGAGACCTGTGCACACGCTCCCCTCCCAGGCACACATGTGCCCATCACCAAATAATTGACCCAGTTATGCTGCTATGCTTTTAGTAAATACATATATAATAAATCTCAACACTTAACTTCTTCTTGAGTCACGTGCTGGTTGAACACTCCCTTCAGTCATTCACTGGCTCCAGCCCAGACACAGTCCCTGTGCCTGTTTTAGGGAGAAAGGTGCCAGTCCTGGGTGGTGACAAATGAGGCCACACCAAGTAGCACCAAGAGCTGATCATGCAGGAATAACTCACATTCTAACTGGCTTTTC